GACTATTGTGTGGGCAATGATGACGTAATCGAAGGATTGCTGATGTGAGGATGATGTGACTTTGATGTGACTGAGCCCTTCTGATCAGAATGTATTAGAATGTATGTGTTGTATGAGTGTGACAGTATTAACACATTTAATCATGAAACAATGAAATTAACACATTGTATTGACATACTTGATTCAGGTGCAAACATACATACTACACCTTACTAATTTTGATTAACAAACATACAAAACACAAACCTATTACATGTTACAATTACAAACAAAACAATAATCATACTCAGACAAAGTAGAGTAATGATAATTAGAATACAACAAGATGCAAACAACAAACACAGAACAAATGAAACAAATATAAGTAGTAACATACTACATAATGTATACTGTCATCCCAATCTAAACTTCACATTAATCAGTAAAGTATTACTATACAAAGTAGGATACAAATTAGTAAAAACAAACAATACATGTACTATCTATTCACCTACAAATAAAAAGATTGGAGAAATACAAGTATGTAATAAGTTATATATGATAGTATTACATCATCATTACTAACAGAATGTTAACACAATAACTATAATTGACTTACACAAACAAATGGGTCATATTAACTTTGAGTATTTATACAAACTCATACAAAATCATTCTGAAATAATACAACAAAAAGTAACAGATGATAAGAATGTACAATGTAATGATTGTATGCATGCAAACATACAATATAATGATATACCTAAAATACAAATGTCTACAATTTCTAAAACATACAGAGAATGTCTGCATATTAATATATAGGGTCTAGCACCTATACAAGCATACAGCAAATACAAATACATACTTACAATTGTTGATAATGCTACACAATAGGCAGATATGATACTCATGTGTCATAAAAGCAATACATTTACTGAATATGTTAAATACACTATGAAATTATTTACACAATATAGTGCAAAAGTAAAAACACTACAAAGTAATAACAATACTGTCTTCCTAAGTAATGACTTTACAGTGTACATAGAAAGTCAAGGAACTATACAACAATTAACAGTACATGATACCCTACAACAAAACAGAATTGCAGAATGTATACACAAAACAATATTTAACAGAGTATGAATGTGTCTATTAATGTCTAAATTACCTACAAAATTATAGGTATATACTACACAACACTAAACGTTTATTCATAATTGAACACTATGTACTATAATAAATTTTGCAATACTATATTACAAACAGTTTAACAAACAATACACTATAGATAACATATGAGAATTTAGAGCATATTGTGTTATACAGAACGGAAAAATGTACAAACTAGAGCCTAGAGGTAAATACACATAATAGTTAGACAACAATAACGAAAGTAAAGGCTATATAACATGGTATAATGATAAAATAATGGTTGAACAAAACCTACAATTCATAGATGTACAATCATCTAGAATTGAAGGGGAGAATAATAATAATAATAATAATAACAGAACAAACAGAACAAACAGAACAAATAATAATAACAGTAATAATAATAATAATAATACAAACAGAACAAACAGAACAAATAATAACAATAACAATAATGAGTTACAACAATCAACTCATGAACAACAAGTGACAAAACATGCTAGAGGATTAAACTATGATAATGAAATAAATCTAGCAATATATCTAACAGAATTTAACAAACTACTTAACAAAGTATATAACAATCTATTAATGTATTACAACACTATAACAAATAACAATAAAGCACAATGGATCAAAGCTATGAATGAAGAAATAATAGCATTACAATTACACAATACATAGGAATACACATACTCACTAATGAATGTAAATATAATTGGAACAAGATTTGTCTGCAAATTAAAACAACTAGCTAACAGTAATATAGACAAATACAAAGTATGACTAGTAGTACAGGGTTATGCCCAAAAGGACAGAATAGATTTCTATTCAGACAACCTATTTGCTCCAGTTACAAAATTAACTACAGTACAATTATTATTAAGCTAGGCAGTGTCTAAAGACTATAAAATACATTAAATAGATGTAAAATCTGTATATCTTTACAGAGAATTAAACAAAGACAAACATATCTATGTGAGACCTCTACTGGGTAAATTACTAAACAATATCAAACCTGGTCAAGTGCTAAAATTAAATAAAGCACTATACAGACTAAAACAAGTAGGACAATAATAGTATAAGAAAATTATAGATATACTACACAAAATAGGATTATAATGAGCAAACTATAACAACACTGTATTTTATAAGAAAAGGCATAATGAAACAATATTAATAACATTCATACATGTTGACAATATTACTATTATTAGTAAAAACATTACTATAGTGAATGTATTCAAAGAAGTATTAAAACAATATGTTACATTTACAGACAGAAACAAAATACACTAGCTTCTAGGAATTGAAATCCAAAGAAATAGACAATAGAGAACAATCTGCTTACAGTAAAGACACTATATCCAGAGCATAATACAATGCTTTAAGCTTGAGAACAAAAAACTGCTACAAACTCCTATAATGTCTAGAACATACTTAACAAGTATGAATGATACAATTGATGACAAACAATTTATACAAACAATACTGTACATGAATATGGTAGGATCATTATACTACACAGTAGATTGTACTTGGCCAGACATTACATACATTGTGGGCCAATTAGCACACTATTTACAACAACTGAATATGAGCCACTACAAAGTGGCAAAACATTACTTCTAGTACCTAAAAGGAACTATGAACTACTGGCTTCATCTTAGAGGCACAAATACACTAACTATACAAGGGTACTGTGATGCTGACAGATGAATGACAGAAGAACACTGATCAATTAACAGATACATATTCCCAGCTGGGAAAGTAAACAATATCTTAGTCAAGCAAATGACAGAACCTAGTACTACTATTAACTTACAAAGCAGAGTTATAAGTACTAGTGTATACAACTTAAGAGGCCATTTGGCTCAAATGACTTACTGAGGAAGTACTGTAGACAGAATCAGTACTCATTACAGTCTATTACAACAATCAGTGAGTAATACAAACTGTCAAATCTGAGGAGATTACTTTCAATGCTTAAACAAAACACCTTGATTTGTAAAAGGACTTTGTCTACTGTTACATTCAGAACAACTATGTTAACATACATTATGTTTAAACACAGAACCAACTTGCAGACATCCTTACAAAAGCACTTTATGTCCCTCAAAATCAAGCACCTAATAGAACTTATAGGTCTTCAACATTAACAACAGAATATTAGGGCTTAAAGGAGAGTATTCAACACACTGTGTTTTATGTCTCATTTACTAGTATAGTATAATGTATCTAGTATATAAGGGCACACATATATGTGCATCTATCTAAGTACTATTCCAAACTCCCTGTTCTAATAGGACTCTTAATAATCAATAATATTACAGGGCACAATACTCTCCCTTTTATACTATAGTACATACACTACTTTGTGTAATAAGTATAAGGAGTTATGTGTGTAATACTGGTTTGTATCTGTATAGAAGTTAGTGTGTCTGCTACTTTTGCCAAATCATCTGAATATAATATGTTACTTAATATTACAGTCTTAACACTATTCTTCATTGATTTTGTGATTACTCTTGAGCTCTATCTATAATAGTAGGTACTCTGCCTGTTTTATTGTTGTAGATGTATGTAATAGTATAAGTGTCAATCTATACTAATCATGTCACATTTGTCACATTTACTAAAGCTTTTTATACAGGAGGTAGAAGCCTATTCTGATACTAGGAAAATTTGTTTTAGAATGTATTTCTAGCTAATAAGGTGGAAACTTTTGAATTTTGTAATAAATTCTTAAAGTTACAGAATAGGAATCTATCCTCTGTGTCAGTTATATACTCTATATTAATTTGAATTCTTACTCAATTTCTATAAATAAACACTAAAGTTTATCTGTAATCAGAATACACTAGTGTATATTTTATGTTGAATTATTATGTACAAGTAATATAAAAGAATCTTTAAGAATTACACAACTTTATGGATTTTTTATTTTTATTTTTATTATTTTCACTAATATTAAATTTATGTACAATTAAACATTTCCTCATCTTGTTCAAAAACTTGTAAGCAGGTAGTAGTAGTATATTTCTATGTATACTTATTTTTCTAAGCTTATTGAATTTGTAATTGTGAGTTTAAAAGAATGTGTTTAAAAGAATAGTATTTGACTGTACTTATAATTCTTTATCCACTACTCTGTAGACTATAATAAGAAAATTCATATGAGAGTCTGTCTTATTTCCTTCTAACTTTATTTTGTGTTTAGTACACTACATATTGGAGGTCTGAGTATCTCTTCAGTTTTCAATATTTACAAACATATAGGACAGTTTACAATTCCTTACCTTAAAAAAAACTTATATAATGTTAAACATTATTTGTAATTTAGTTTACCATTTTTGGTTAGTAGAAATTGTGAACAAATTTTGTAATTTTCTTAAGACAAAAACTATAAATTACTTTTAATATTTTTCTATTTACAAAATCTTTAAATAAATAGAAATAATTATCTAAAATATAATTTCAAGTTTTTTTAAAAGTAAAATTAAAAATTTTCTTTTGAATTGTGACCAAAAATTTAAAATTTCTCTTGATTTTTGTTATAAAATTCAAAAGAAAATTTCTAATTTTGTCTTTAAAGAGACTTGAATTATATTTTAAATAATTATTCTCATTTATTTTAAGATTTTACAAATAAAGATATGTTAAAATTAATTTATAGTTTTTGTCTAAAGAAATTTTTAAATGTTGTTTACAATTTCTATCAACCAAAAATGGTAAATTAAATTATGAATTATATTTAATATTATGTAAGTTATTTTTTAAGGCAAGAAATTGTGAAATGCCTGATGTGCATTGTATCGTCGTGCAAAAACGAATCACAAGAGCATCTTTGAAGTACATCCATCATGGTCGACGTGCTCGTCTTAGGTGCTACAGGTATACCATTTAGTCTCAACGTAATAGTGCATGTTAAAGATAGGTTTGCTTTATAGGTTACACTGGAAAGCTCATCACACGCTACCTTGCTGTGCACCGCGAACGAGGCTCCTTTACGTTCGGTCTTGCAGGACGTTCAAAGTCTAAGCTCGCACAACTTGTATCTGATCTCAACATCCCGGAAATTCAGACGTATACAGTCGACGTCACGGATGATGAGTCATTGTCTTCGCTCCTTTCTTCCTCCCGCGCGAAAGTGCTGCTGAGCACAGTTGGGCCGTATATGAGATGGGGCATGCCTGTAGCGCGTGCGTGTGCTCGTTCCGGCGTGCACTACGTGGATATCGATGGAGAGGCACCATTCGTGAAGGACTTGATCATGGAAGTGGATTATTTGGCGACAAAGACAGGGAGCATACTCGTTCCTTCGAGTGGATTTGATTCTGTACCTGCGGACTTGTTGGTGTACCTTTCGGCAATTACGATGAGGAAGGCGTTGAATGAAGTTGATGCGACGAACTCAAGTGAATGGGAGAACGTGGGTATTACCGAGTCTCACACGATGTATAGTGCCAAGGGAGGTGTCTCGGGTGGCACACTCGCCACTGTGTTCTTATTGCTCGAGAGCTTTCCTCGGAAGAAACTCGCTAAACTTATGGCACCAGACGTTTTGAGCCCCATCAAACTCCGAACACCGTCATCGCCGAAGCTGGTTTACACATTCCCTGGTATCCGTTCAGGTCGATACGGACATGCATGGCCTCTTGGTCCACATAACGTCGCCATCGTACAGCGTTCGCATGGATTATTCCACTTACAAGCATCTGCGGGCATTCAAGACGAGGAAGTCGAAAGGCCAGCGTATGCAGAGAATTTTATGTACACCGAATCGCAGGCCGCTTCAAACCAGTTTGTCGCATTCTTCGCCGGACTTGGTCTCATGCTCCGCGCAGCTTGTCTAGTTCTGTTCCCTCCTATACGATGGCTCGCGAAACGGCTTGTAATTCAACCTGGTCAAGGGCCATCAGATGAGTGAGTTGCCGTTTCCTGTTTAAATTTTCTAAGTATCAGTTACTAATACAGTGCTTGTTTCGGTAGAGTTCTCCAGAACGGATACGTAAAGATGCAAAATATCAGTGTCTCATCACCTCTCCCAGGCACAAACAAGTCTCTTATTATTGAGAGTTTTGCACGTGGACGTGGAGATCCCGGCTATGCACTTACAGCTGGTACGTCCACAGTTCTTTTACTGATATTTAAACTCCTGCACACGTAAATAATTCTACATTTTAGTGATGTCCGCGGAAGTAGCACTTGGTCTCCTAGCACCACGCGAAAAGTTACCAGCGATAGCACGTTCAGGAGGTGTACTGACTCCTGCGACTGCACTTGGATCGGCCTTGTTGAAGAGGCTTTCAGCGAGTGGGAGGTTTGAGTTTGAGAATAATGTCCGAGAGGATTAATTAGGACAGTACATCGCATTGTCTCCTTAGTGTTTTATTTTTCACTATGTGAATTGACTGATTATGATTTATCTTAAAAGTGTCAACTTGGATTCTTTTTCTGGTCTATGCGTTGTATGATTGTAATTTACGTCTGGGCCAATAGTGATCTGGAATGCCTGCAAGTTGTATATAGTGTTTTACGTATTGACGACTCAGATAGAGCAGACTGGTCTCGGTATGACCAGCCTTCGTAATATTAATAAGCATCAACATTTGAGAAGTGAACCATAATTATGAGACACTTATAAAGAAGCAAAATCAACTTGGGGCATAGAGGGTCATTATACAGAACAGAATGCTGAATAGGAATTCCCATTTCAAGATTTTAAACAAAGCTTCAGTGTGAAAGTATGGTACTTTGACATTTTGGATTGATTCCTGATAGATTGTAGTACTGGAATGTTTGCAAAGATGTTCAAGGAATAGTATTGCAACAAACTAAGAACTGAATAGTTAGATACACTAGTATATACAATACTTACTCCTACATAGAACATAATATTTGAGCCTGAGTGTAATAACTGTAAAGAAATGGAAGTTGTAGTTAGCTCTCTGTAGCAAGTATTTAGTCAGTGTTAAAAGGCAGTGCCAATTTATAAATAACATTATTCTGAGTATAGTACACAGTAAACATATTATGTTAGAATACTTACAGTAATTATTGTGTAGTGAATCATTAAGAACAACCTGAAGACCTTTGTGAACAGTCTGGTAATCACACATCTTTGCATCATACTCTAAGGTGAGGAGCCTTACAAGCTCTTGACATACAACAGAATCCTTCTGGATACATGTAGTACCTTCTGTACATACTTCTGTGTCTGAATCCAGTGGTTTGTCCTTAGTGTCATCCATTTCTGCATCTTCTGGCAGGTCAGTAAGTGTAGAGGAATGGTCACTTGGTTCTACACAAGGGCTAGTAATAATATTATACAATCCTGATCCTCCAGACTTGGTTCCTCCTTGGCAAGAATGCAATCCATGTTTGCCCTTGTCTGGTTTACATTCCTCACCAGAGTCTGGGTCATCCAGACCTTTGTGCTTCCTGCCTGTCTTAGCTGCCTCTCTTGCCTCTCTTGTCTCTCTCTCCTGCCTCTTTGCCTCCTCTCTTACAGCTTGAAATTCAATCCAGAGCTCCCTTGATCTAATACTGTCTACCACTCCTAAGTTGAACCAGTGAGGATCCTACAGGTCTACTAGGACACTAGGCTTTACAGTATTCTACTAACCTTCTAGTGTCACAGCTAGACATTCTAGTCTAGCACTCTGTACAAGCTGCTTATAGCACTTCCTTTCCACAAGTTCAATGTCACACTTCTACTTTGTATAGTATAGGATTATCATTAGGACAAAAAATCCAAGCTTGTAGACTAATACAAGATTGTTGTTTTTGCCCTCCAGCACTACACTAATGTTACTATTGTAACTCACCATTCTGCTAACCTGGCCAACATATATTTCTGTAAAAGGAAGATCAGACTTGAGTAGTAGCTTGGTCTGATAGAGATACTTGCTATCAGATTCATAGAACTTTATGTATACAGTATTGAGTACCTCCTTGAAACAAAACCAGAGGACAGATGTCCTGGACTGGTTGTACTTATTTATAATAACATCTGTAATAAACTTGTTTAGGATAACATTCACAAATGTTATTGTAACATGAAACTGACCTTTGTTGAGTAGACTATATAAGAGTGTTACATTTATAAAGGAACAATACTGTGTATTACAGAACAAATTTAGTTTTGCATAAAGGTAATTTAATAAGATATACTCACCTTGTAAGTAAGACTGATCAAAAGTCTTTAGGTCTCTGTTACTTTAATAAGAGTACCCTCCTAGTCATCCAAACAATATTTGATTACTGTTACAATTCTCTGCTCTCTTACCTTCAGTTCCAAGGGTTCTACACCCTTCTATACTGGAACTCAGGACTTCTGTCCCTCAGAGGTGCTGTCTATAGACTATATGCATGCTGACTCTTACCACTACCCTTCCTTACTTCATCATTCCATTCCTTTGACTACTCCTTCATTCTCTGTTCATTCTATAGTCTCTTACCCTTTGTCCATCCCTTCATTCTTTGTACCTTTATCTTTGACATTCCTTTCTTTCATTCTTTGTGGCTTATCATTCTTAGGGGCTCATGCTCCCTGAGTACTCTTGTATAGTTTAGTATATATA